TGTCTTCTGGGTCCCCTGCCTTGACAGATGATGCCCATTAAGCACTCCAGATTGTTTTCTTCTGGGAACCATCTTTACTTTTAACTTCTGCTTGACATTTTTAGTTAATTCTCTTTCCTGCCATTATCTTAAGCTATTTAGAGAAGTGAAGTAATTCTGATGTATACTGGCTATTACAAATAATTTCCCATTTTATAATTTTGACACAACTATCCACACTTACATTCAAGTTTTCCACACACTCCTTAGAGAAGTTTCTAAGTCCTGTGAAAAAGAGGGGAAAATAGCTGTCCCCTCACCCTGTCCACTCCCACATCCTGGAGTGATGCTCAGAGCCCTTTTCTGGGCTATAGCTGAGAGCTCAGAGCCTGGCATCTTTCATAATCATCATTTACTTTATTTTTCTCAAAATTTATTACCTTGTTCTTACCATGCTGAAGCTTATCTACCCACTCACCCAGTCTGGTAAAGATCTTCCTGCTGTTTATCACCATCAGCTTTGCATTGCACCATCTGGAAGAGCTTAGTGTTTTCTAGAAACATGGAAACATCACTTATACTCTGGCTGAACATCATTTATAAAAGCGGCAGCTCAGACTGGCCCTAGCACTCTTCCATGCAGTGCAGTTCCCCCCCCCCCCCCCCCCCCCCCCCCCCCCCCTTAAATTATCTTTTGCTTTCTCTCTCCAGACTAGCTCACCGCCATTGTCACACCATTCTCCCAACATAGTCCTGGTGTGTTTCCTTTCTCGTAAATGTTCAAATGGTCCTTATTCTCAGAGCCTTTGTATTATCTTTGCTTGAGTTCTTCTGTCAATCTTGGTTTAAGGAAGCCCCCTGTCTTTCTACCAGGATGAATTTGCTATCACTGCATAATCACATTTTTATGTCCATTCTGAGATTCTGAGGTATTATGAAAAATGGGAACTTTTGTTCAAACTTAGTTAAAAGAATTATTCCTGGCCAAAAGAACTTTCCTAGGGCTTGTATACAGAAATAAAAGAAGTTTTTACCAAGACCTATCCTCCATCTTTTGGTATTTTTCCATTAATAAACCTGGTCCACTAGTTAGGCCTGTTTCCCCAATATCCCACGTACACCCGTGACCTTGACTCCCAAAGCTTAGCTCATCCTCTTTCTCTCAGCCTGCAGTGTCCCTCCCTGCTGGGTCACCAATAGGCACCCTGTACAGAAGCCTGAGGCAGAAGGATGGTTAAAAGCAAGCCCAAGATTTCCATGTGCAAAAAGTCTTCCAAATGGGACTGCTCTCTCAGTGCCTCTCTCTCCCTTATATAATTTGTAACATTAGGTATGCAAGTTGGAAACAATGGTATCTCCCCACCTTCCCGATTAATCTCTGAGAGTTGTAAGAGTGTTCTGTTGACCAGTGTCTTTTTTGATATTATTTCTCTCAGTCCTATCCCAGTATGTCCTATAATACATGCCAGAGAATGTGATATATATAATATATTTATATGCATATGTATATGTCCAATAAGTTTGAGAAGTGGTAGGCTAAACAAAACTATGCAGGTATCTTTACCTACATAGAATGGTGAACTGTCAAAAGCAAACCATAATATATTGTCATCTACAAACTCATTTAACCGACCTCAAGGCCTTCTTTCCTGGAGCATCTAAAAGGACGAGCGCTCTATGGGATACATGTTGGAGCACACTGTTGTAAATCGGGGGTCCTACATTCATCATGTCAGAATCACTTAGGGAGCTTGTGACAATCTGGGGTAGAATATGGAAATCTGCTTTGTTGCTGTTTATTCTTAACCTTCCTGGTGATTTTGGCGGTCTATAACATTTGGATTCCTCTGCATGAGTTTTGATCTTTAAAGCTTCAGAGATGCTATCCCTGTGACCGTCCTGAGCCCTCAGTGTAGAATTTTATACCCCAAATTACTTGCAGGTAAATAATAAATTTTTATACAAGAGAGATGGCTGGAAGCTTATCAGGGAAGCCACCCAGAGCCTTTGTGACTTGGGGAAAAACACTGGCCTGTATCCATGACTTTAGAAACCACTTCCTAACATAATAGCTGTCCCTACCTACATGCAAATCTACCTTCAGAGCCCATTTAGTTTACCCCAGCTATTCTCACTCATCCCAGTGTGGGCTGTTTCACATGTTTCTGTATTTTGTTTCATTGTCTATATCTGGCCTCACTGCGGGATCACATTCAGAGCAAGACATAACTGAATACTTTTCTTGGGATTTCTTCATAGCTCTGGATATATAGTCAAACTAAGAGTAAATGCTCAATAACTGCAGAGAAAACAAGGGACAAAAGGGACCTTGGTCTAAAAGGGACAAAAGGTTGGCTCTAGAATTAAAAAGCAGGTAGAGTGGGTGATGAATGTGGCAAGATGGGTAGCTACTCAGCTTCCCCTGCTGAGATAGGAGCTTCTTAAATGGTATCATCTTCCTCCACTCTGAAGTTGTGTCTTTGTTACTTCTCTGTTCTTCACATGATATATATATCACTAGTAGTTACGGAATAGATAACGAACTTGTCCCAATTTGTATGGGGCATTTCCAATTTTGGCAATAAAAGTCCACTGCCTGGGAAAGCCCTCCTTACTGGCAAACTGGACATTTGGTCACTCAGGAGGCAAAAATAGTTCCCTAATCAAAAAAATCAAGACTGCTATATCTCATTCTACCCACTGAATACATTTCCTATTGCTGCTGTAACAAATTACCAAAAATTAAGTGGCTTAAGACACCAATTTATCATCTTATATTCCTGGAGATCAGAAGGCCAAAATGGATTTTGCAAAGCTAATATCCAGGTGCTGGCAGGGGCTCTGTTTTTTTTTGTTTTTTTCCCTAGAGGCTTCTGGGGAGAATCCCCTTGCTGGCCATCTCCAGCTTCTATAGGACACATTCCTTGATTCTGACTTCTTCCTCCATGTTCAGAGCCAGTCACCATGTCACCCCATCCTCTGTTTTCATCATCACATCTCTCCCAACTCACTCTCCCACTTCCCTCTTTCATTCTCAATCACATCTGCAAAGTCCCTTTTGCCATACAAGGCAGCATATCCAGTGGTTCCAGGGATGAGAATGTGGGTATCTCTGGAGGCCTATTCTACCTACCACACCCACTTCTCTCTGGGAGTTGATAGAACACCTTAATGTATTAAAGAAATATTTTTAAAATCTCATAGAAAATAAGCTATTTCACTTTGCTTAATCCGTGTTTTTCAAATTTATGTAATCAAGAAATTCTTTTCTTCCCAAGAAACACTTCTTAACATTTCATGGAAGGCTGCTGCTCTTGCAAAAGAGTAGGATTCAGAATGGTAGATGGGCAGACTGCAAGTCCAGAGACATTCCACAACATGTGCAGAGTTTTGAGGGAAGCAAGTTATAGATCCAAACTCTTCTTGACAACTTCACTACATATTCTTTGTACATATTATTATACAAACTCGTCTGCCTAAGAAGAAACCTAAGGTAAAGGCATGGTGGATCTCCCTTTCTTCTTGTAGCCTCTACCTCCTGAGCTCAAGCAATCCTCCTATCTTAGCCTCCTGAGTAGCTGAGACCACAGGTGCATGCCCGGCTAATTTTTTATTTTATTTTATTGAGACAGGGTCTCACTCTGTCATATAGGCTGGAGGGCAGCGGCAATATCACGGCTCACTGCAGCCTCAACCTCCTGGGCTCAAGCCATCCTCCCACCTCAGCCTGTCAAGTAGCTGAGACTTACAGGTGCATGGCAGCACACCCAGCTAATTTTTGTATTTTTTCTAGAGACAGGGTTTTGCCATGTTGCCCAGGCTGGTCTCAAACTCCTAGGCTCAAGTGATCTGCCCAGCTCAGCCTCCCAAAGTGCTGGGATTACAGGGTATAGTGGCCAAGCAAAAAATCCTAATGGGACATTTTGCCCTGGGGTACAAAACCTCCTGGGTCAAAGAGTTGATGTGAAATTTGCCTTGCCAATGATGACTCTTTTGATAAGGCACCATAACCCACCCCTGCCCATCTTATTTAGAGGTACATTTCCACTAAAACTTTATTTCTTATGTGTAGTAAGTAGTTATTGAAGTTTTGATATTTTATATCATACCTAAAATATTTAAAATGATAACTCACTCCAAAGAAAAATTTTTAATTTTTGCTTAGAGATTTATGGTCCCTGGAACCTTCCTTTAATTTAAATTTAAACCCATATGCATCCTTTGGTTGTAGAGAATTTGATGGATTGATCAAATATTTTCAGGCATAAGCACATACATGCATTTAAAGTGCTGTGGGTGAAGTAGAACAGAGATAGGATTTCAAGGAGAAAAAAGAACAATGTAACATTTTTAGAGAAGACCTTGTTCATGTCATTTTTAAAGTGTTATATAATGGGTATTATATAACAGCAGTAATTATGTTAATTGGACACATTTAAAAGAATGATTTAACAGGTTAGTTTGAAAATGTCACTATTTACATTATCTAGAAATTGTATCTTTCCTAACTAATCTTAACATGAAAAATACTTGCTGACAAGTTTTTAAATATTCAAGAAGTTACACAGTTTTAAAAATTCTTTTGGGGGCCAGGCACAGTGCAGGTTCCTGTAGTCCCAGCTACTTGGGAAGCTGAGACAGGAGGGTTGCTTGAGCCCTGGAGTTCAAGGCCAGCTTTGAGGGCACCATAGTGAGACCCCCATCTCAAAGAAAAACAAAATAAAATAAATGTTGATAAATTTAATTAATTTTTTTTTGTTGTTGAGACAGTCTTGCTCTGTCAATCAGGTTGGAGTGTACAGGCGAAGTCTCAGCTCACTGCAAGCTCCGCCTCCTGGGTTCAAGCATGTCTCGTGTCTTAGCCTCCCAAGCAGCTGGGACTACAGGTGCGTGCCATCATGCCTGGCTAATTTTTGTATTTTTAGTAGAGACGGGTTTTAACCATGTTGGTCAGGGTGGTCTTGAACTCCTGACTTCAACGGATCCACCCGCTTCAGCCTCCCAAAATGCTGGGATTACAGCATGAGCCGTAGTACCCAGCCAATTAATTATTTTTTTAAAAAAATTGTTATGGGGATATGTGAGGTCTAACTACTGGTCCAGAGCAGAATGGAGAAAATGCTGGCAGTACAAAGAGCAGGGTATGGAATCAGGTCACCAGGAAAGCCTCCAGAAAAATGCCCACTTCACCCAACCGAAAGAGTTAAACAGGGCCTGGCACAATGCCAGCACTCCCTTCATTCAGCCAACACCTGCTGTGTGTGGCCAGTGTGCCAGGCATTGGGAGTAAAGTCGGGCTTAGACGTGACTCCCTGCCCCCAGGCACTAAACTGCTATTGGATACATATGTAATTGACCTGCTGCTTCTGGGTAACTGCATGTTGGCTGCATTTCTAGAGAGTCTAAAGACCTTATTCTTGGGTAGTTTTTAGAAGCTGTGACTGACTACAAAGCCATGACTCATTTTTTTATATTCTAGAATGAATCAATCTAGATTCCACTATTCCTATTAGAATAGTCACCTGAGGAGGCATATGCTTATTTCAGTGACAGAGGAGTTGCTCAAGTCTTTAAGCTTCATCTGTGGAATTGACTTCAAAGCATACAGTGCAATCTTTTGAATATGCTTAGTGCTTGTAAATATTTGCTTTTGGAGAACAACTTTGATTTTGCAGAAAACAAAAGCTATTCACACAAAACTCTGGTGATCATGGTAGTTGATGAGACTGGGCAGGAATATCATTTGACTCAAACTCTGGAATGATATCAGTCAGGAAGTTGGAGATGTCTCATAGTAAAGAAGAGTCAGGAGAGACTGTTCATTCCTTTTATGTTCTGCATGATGAATGTTTATTCCTTTTAGCACTGAGGCAGGAGGGAAAATCCTGGCCATACCATGGTCACTTGACTGTGAAGTTGCTTAAAGATTCTGTTGTCTCAGACTTTGGGAGAGAGCTTGCTGGGGCTGTGGAAGGCCCCTGGTGCTCACTGCTTTAGTTCTGCTGACCCCGCTGCAGCTACCCCATGCCAGGTTGTACTGTGGAGGGACCTGTAGCTGGAAGAAGCCAGAGAGCAGAAATAGCTGTCCTTTAAGGACCCAGGGCTGAAGGTATGTGGCTGGGTAAGCCATGAGGGGACATGTAGGCCCTGTGGAGTCCTGACAAGCAACAAGGAGGAAGAGGCCCCAAGTTGGGGAGGGTTACAGGTTGGGAAGAACAATGAATAATTGTTCTGAGAAATGGCTAATCACAAACCTGCAGGCACAGCCACCTCATTCTGTTTGTGGTCCCAGCAGCAGAACCTCTTCTGCATGTAGTTTCCTCCTGCACAACCCTATAAAACTTCCTCCAGCTCCTGCCTCTTTGAAGACAGCCCCTTCTCTGCTGTGCTGCCTGTTGTAACCTTGCAACATATTTTCATACTTTCCCTAATAAATCTACCTTTCTTTACCTAAAGCTGTCTTGGCAAATTTCTTTCCCACCATGACACCAGCCCCAGCTAGTTGTATTGCAACACGGCCTTTGTTTAAATTGTGTTTGAGTATTTACTGAGTCTGTGTCTGCAAGGCCGGGGCATCCACTGATTAATCACTGCCCACTGAAGGAATGAATACAGAGGAAAGAAAGAGGGAGGGGCCAGAAAAGAACAGAAGACAGGGCATGTAGCCATCACTCTGTCTACTCTACCTATCCTGTCACTCCTGTGTGAACACAAAGCACTGGACAAAAGCTCTTGGGATTCTCAAGGACCCTCAATTCTCAAATGAATATTGAGTATAAGTTTGGTGTATACTGTATTTTACTACTTTCTTATTCTTCTGCATTTCTCTGGTATTTTACTCAACAGATACCATTTCCTATACCCAGAACTAAGCTAGGTGCTGCAGGAGACATTCTCTTTGTCCTTGGGTAACTTGAATCTCCTTGGGAAGATAAGAACAATATGCATATATACTGTAGAGTGAGGATGGCCAGTGTGTTTCATTTCAGATGTCAGCTCCAGCTAATTGGTGGCCTTGTGGAGTATTTCATCAAATCAAAGGCACCCTCAATTGTAAGATGCCATTTTATGTGTTCTAAAGAAAGAAAAAAATGGCTGGCTGCAGTGTCTTATACCTGTAATCTCAGCACTTTAGGAGGCTGAGGTGGGTGGATCACAAGGTCAGGAGTTCAAGACCAGCCTGGCTAGCATGGTAAAACCCTGTCTCTACTAAAAATACAAAAAATTAGGTATGGTGGTGGGCACTTGTAATCCCAGCTACTCAGCAGGCTGAGGCAGAGAATTGCTTCAGCCCAGGGGGCAGAGGTTGCAGGGGCCAAGATCGTGCCATTGCACTTCAGCCTGGGCGATAGACTGAGACTCTGTCCAAAAAGAAAAAAAGAATGAAAAAGAAAATAAAATAAAAGGAAAAGGAAGGAAGGAAGGAATGAAAAAAGGCAGAAAGGAGGGAGAGAAAGAAAGAAAAGGAAACAAGCTGTAAGTTAAATTATGAACCATTGCTTTTTCTTACTTAGAATTTTTATTTATACTTATTGCAAGAGGCTTTTTAGACTTATTTGCATATAATGTGGGTTTTTAAAAACATATATTGCTCTCACTTATAAAGTAGAAAATAACAGCAAAATAAATTGGGTCTGGTTTTTCTAAGCTGCTTCACCTTCAGAATACTACTCATCTGTAGCATCTTTGACATGGAGTTATTGATGTCTGTGTTCCCACAGTACAACTCTCTATGCCATCAAGAGTATTCAGACTGCAACAATTCTTACAAAAATTTCTCTTGACTTGCTCCCAAATCTCTGACACCTTTGTGTAAATTGATGTGCACACAGGTAATAACAGCCACAGTACAACAGCTACCTGGCAACAGTGAGTGAAAGACCCATCCAATTTCTAATATTTCAAAAGCAAAAAAATACCTCTTAGACTCAATGATATGTGGGTTCTGAGACTCAGTCAACATTACTGTCATGATCAACTATCCACGTCTGCCCTGGGAATGGGGTTGACATTGGGGCTACATTCTCGCCACTAAGCAATAATTTGCTCCTGTATAGTTTGCAAAGCTGAATGGTTTCCAGTGTGACAGCAGTGGTAGGGAGTTCTCTGTGAGCTAGTAGAATCAGGAAAGCTTTATGAATGAAGTAGGTATAAAAAGGTAAGATCTGGCCTGGTTAAGAGGACATGACCTCCATCAGAGGAAACAGCATAAGCACAGTTTAGAGGATTCAAAAGGGTAAACAGACATGTCATGTGGAGAAGAAAGTAGGGGAACTAGGGTTGGCTGGGGTTTAGTTAGGGAGTTGGGGGATATATATAAACACATGAGTTTTTGCTCTAAGAACATAAGTTCAAGTTAGTGTGTTTTACTTGTGGGAAAGTAATAAACAGTTCTTATATCTTTAAAACATTTATATCTTGCCTTACCATAGGTCCTGATGTTTTTAGTTCAAAGAGTCTTGCCCTTCAAGCCCAGAAGAAGATTCTAAGCAAAATAGCCAGCAAAACTGTGGCCAATATGTTGATTGATGACACCAGCAGCGAGATCTTTGATGAGCTCTACAAAGTCACCAAAGAGCACACTCACAACAAGAAGGAAGCCCACAAAATCATGAAAGACTTAATCAAGGTGGCAATCAAAATCGGGATTCTCTACCGGAACAACCAGTTTAGCCAAGAGGAGCTTGTTATCGTGGAGAAGTTCCGGAAGAAGCTGAACCAGACCGCCATGACCATTGTCAGCTTCTATGAGGTGGAATACACCTTTGATAGGAATGTGCTCTCCAAGCTGCTGCATGAGTGCAAGGACCTGGTGCATGAACTGGTACAGCGACACCTGACATCCAGGACCCACGGGCGCATCAACCATGTCTTCAACCACTTTGCCGATGTAGAATTCCTCTCAACCCTCTATAGTTTGGATGGAGACTGTAGGCCCAACCTCAAGAGGATTTGTGAAGGAATCAATAAGTTGCTAGATGAGAAAGTCCTTTAAATGCCTTGCCTCCTCCTGGACTTTGCTGCTTTAAAGTTACAGTGCCCAACCATAATCTGGGTGAGAATCAAGAACACAAGCAGAAACCCTTGTCAAAGATGTCCATGTTCTGTCCTGTTCATCCCTCATCATGCTGTTCATCATGCTGATGCTGATGCTGATGCTGAACTGAGCTTAGATGTGTTTTTCTTCTGAGCTCTCTAGCAAAGTTTCTACTTAAAATCACCTCTGTGTAAGCCCAAAGGACATTTCCTCTATTTTAGGCAGAAAGTCTGTTTTGCTCATTACAGTGCGTGCAGTTTATCTTACAGAGTGGGAGGAGCACTGGACTGGGAGACAGAGGACAAGGATTTGGTTTCCAACTTTACCAGTTAGGACTCTATCCTCTGCATTCTGGAACCATGATGCCTGCTTGTCTGCCTCACAGGCTGTTGTGAGGACCAGATGAGATAATGTATGTTCATGCTTTTGGAAACTCTAATGTAAGGTCTTAATATTTTTGTCTTCTGAGTGTGAGGGGATAAACCTGGATGTAGAATATTAAGCAGCATAGGAGAAAAGAACAATAGAATCTAATGGACTGGGTTTGCAATCTGTCTCTAAATGCACTGCTTCAGACAAAGTAAAATCCAAAGGTGTGAAAAAGTGTAGCTGCAAATTGGAAAAATGTTTTTCAAGAGTTATGTTTTTGGCCCGGCGTGGTGGCTCACACCTGTAATCCCAGCACTTTGGGAGGCCTAGGCAGGAGGATTGCCTGAGGTCAGGAGTTCGAGACCAGCCTGGCCAACATGGTGAAACCCCGTCTCTACTAAAATTACAAAAATTAGCTGGGTATGGTGGTGCATACCTGTAATCCCAACTACCTGGTAGGCTGAGGCAGGAGAATTGCTTGAACCCAGGAGACGGAGGTTGCAGTGAGCTGAGATGGTGCCACTGCACTCCAGCCTGGGCAACAGAGCAAGACTCTGTCTTTTTTTTTTTTCTTTAAAAAAAGGTGTTTTTAAGGTCTTAAATGTTTAGGTTTATGATCCTGCGGAGGGAAACTTTCCATGGGGTGTGGGGAGAGAGTTTTCCACCCATAACACAGAAACAGAAGCACTGTGCTCCCTCTGCAGGACCAGCCTTCCCTTATCTAAGGGGCATGGAGCTCGGAGAGGCTTTATTCCACACGCACAGGAAAGTCAGGCAGAATGAACCCCTACCAATCTTTCTTGGCCTTTCACAGTCAGTATTTGCTGTTGTCTCTGGTTCATTAATAAATTGAAACTACCCTCCAAACAAGAGATCTTAGAGTTGTGATTCAAAATAAAATTCCTTGGAGTTAAATACAGTGTTAAGAATAACAGGATTGAAAAGAATAAGAAAATGAAGAGTAAGAGTTCTGCACTCAGACCCCAAGGGACAGTACCTTTAGAGGAGCACAAGCAGGTGTTTCTGTGAGATGGTCAATGGGGAGCTAGCCCATAGACACAAACCGCCTTCTCCAAATGTCACAGCCTTGCTTTCACAGTGCAGCTTCTGACATCTTTTCATCATAGTCTTAACTAACATCAGGACAATGTACTTCCTTTCAACATTGCCCCATATTAAGAGACTTGCTCCTTTTGCCTTTCCTCCTATCCTCCTGTGCTTCTCTCCGTCTAATAATAATGTAAAAATACCATACTAGCTCAGCCCTATGGTTCATCCCACCCCATGGTCTATCTCCAGCAGTAGCATCAAGAGATGGTTTGTGGGAAGGTGTGAAACGTGTGCACTGAGCCTTGCTGGCCATTCAGCCTCAGCTGGCTCTCATGTTAACATCATAACAAACCATCTGGTTATGTTCTTCGGCCATAGCACCCAGAATTAGTTCATAGGAAGGCTATTCAGTATGGAATATGGAAGAGTAAAACAAACCCCTGTTCTCCATATTGGAAAAACATGGCCTAGCCCTCTACTCAAACCCAAGGTCTGAACAATGATGCCCTGTGCACACCTGGCCTGGGGAGGTGGTTGGTCATTTGGCACTGCTGGTAGGAACTACAGGCAGTTCGCTCCCCTTCCTTCCCACCATACTGCTGGACTATGAGGCACCAGTCCAGCAGTAGCTGGATTTTCTCATGCAGAGTCCTCAAGGTTTGCCTTGATGTATTCATCTGACTAAGGATTGTTTTCTAGTTCAAGAGATGGTTCTAGAAGTAGGTTCATTGTTCATTAAATGGACCATTACAGAGAACTCAGACCCAAGAGGAATGAGTGGACCTGTCTTCTGTCCATGTGAGATACAGTGAGGAAGAAGGCAGGATCCCCAGCTAAAGAAGGTGGTGGGTTCTCTACTGGCTCTGCAGGCTACAGCACAATAGTGTAGGAAGAAGGATGAGTTGGGTTCTGACAGCCCACAAGTCTCTAAAGAAACTGGGTGGTCCTTCCTGCTCTGGTCAGGGAAGGATGAACGATCAGCACTTCCACCAGTGGATCTCAGCAAGTACAATGGCAGAATGTGGACCAAAACATTTTCTATTACCTTAGGCTCCCCACTGAGGGAGCTGGTGGGCTCTCTACCTGAGACCCCCAGACTTATCAGCAGCCACCAGTGGGGAGCTGGGCTACCTGCACACAAGAACTTCTCTAAAAATACAAAGCCAAAACCAATCCCCTGTGCACATTTCAAACATACAATTGGCATCTAAATCAAGTGATTCTTGAGTTTCATCAAGCAGCTGAAAGGCCTACAAATTTCAAATACTTTATATAACAATCTAAAGACCAAAGCAAACATCTCATTATACAGTCCTATTGGTTTATCCTGAGAACTCTAACCACATCACCTGGTGATCCTGAAAGGCTGTTTTGGCTGAAAAAAAATGTGACAGAGGCCAGTAGATGCTTTGGAAAGCAGGACTCTAGATGTGCATTTGTGCTCAGAACTCTGTACAAAATTCTCAATATTAGAACCCACAAAAGCAGAGTTAGAATAGCTATATTTTTAGGCCCTAATAACAAACATATCATTTTGCAAAATGATGGGAAAGTAATTTTAAAAGAAGCAATGGTACAAGATGGCTCAACTAATCCTGCCACACACAGACTTCAGACAGCAATGCCTGGCTCAGCAAACCAAGTAGGGGAGAGACATTCTTTTAAGGGTAGGTAATGGCAGGAGCAGGTTGAATCAGTCATCTGGAAACATCACTGGGTCTTCAACCATCCCTGAACACTCAGTTCTGTCCCTACAGGAGGACACCAAGGACTTGTGCTGAAATCCTCACCAAGCCCTTTGTCGCGTGTCGCTACACCTATATCTGAGACCTGCAGAAACACATTCCCTGCCAGCTGCCACCTGCCATGTGTCTGTACCACTCTTCCTCTCTGTGTTTGCATCTGTGGGTCTTGACACTCTAGTAACTCCCGGTCTCTGCTCAGTGACAAAATGAAAAGACTTCTTCTCCTTCAAATTCTCATCTCTCCCATCTGTACATTTTTTAGAATCAAATCAGTACATTCATTGGCTGATCCAATAAACTTATTGCATCCACTTATATTTTTAAAAAGGAAAGAGTTCAAATCAGGCCTATGTGTCCTCTGCCCCAATATCTTTTTAAAATTATTTTACTTTTTAGAGATAAGGCCTCCCTCTGTCACCCAGGTTGGAGTGCAGTGGCATGATCACAGCTCACTGAAGGCTCAAACTCCTAGGCTCAAGCAGTCCTCTTGCCTAAGTCTCCTGAGTAGCTGGGACTACAGGTATCAGGTATGCACCAACATGCCTGGCTAATTTTTTTTTTTTTTTTTTTTTTTTTAGAGATGGAGGTCTCATTGTGTTGCCCACGGTGGTCTCCAACTCTTAGCCTTAAGCAATCCTCCCACTTCATTCTCCCAAAGAGCTGAGATTACAGATGTGAGTGAGCCACTGTGCCCAGCCTTGCCCTAATATTTTTATGACTTTTCTTTTTCTTTTAATTCCACATGATCTCAGAGAAACCAATTAGGGAAAATTCAACTTTGGCTGTGAAAACATTGCACTAACAGGACTTATTTAATAGTGGACTAGAATGTTGACAATAGAGTTATAAATCAATGGACTTGAAGAAGAGGGTCGCCGAGGCCTACCCAACTGGGAATTGAATGGTCAAATGGATTTTGCTTGTTTACATGAGCCTGCAACATTGAGCCACAGCCCAAGCTGGGCCCAGCTCACGCTCCTTTTTTAGAGGGAGGTCTTGCTTGTTAGCAAGGGCAGGGGAAGGGGTGGGGGGCAAGAATCTTTTACGACACTATTCCTCAAAATAGCATCTATGAATCTCTGAAAGTCCTGAGGGCAAGGAGGCGGGGAAGATGGAGTCCATGAGTTCCAAAACAAGTTTTTAAGTTTTTTTTCATTCTGACAACTTTTTTAAAAAATTAAAATCAACATAAATATATTCCACATCATGTGGGAATGACCTTATAGCCATGTGGTACCATCTGGCTTCAGTTTGAGTTTCTGAGTTTGTGTTTACAACATTGCTCATGCTGATTGAGCATGGCAGGTGAAAGAAAAGAATGTAACTTCATGTGTTTAAGGTCTGACATCACCTAGAGGTCTGCTGGGGTAAGTTGTGGGGTCTGTGAGTGCTCAATTTCGAGAATCATTGCTATGACATACGAAAGTGGAGGCTTGCAAAGAATGAATGTCACCCTCCCCTAAACAGTGACTTATTTGTGGGCTGAAAGGTTGAGAAGTGAGCCAAGTGTCTGGAGCACACATAAGTCTGCATTCTATGTGCAGGTCAGCTTCCACATGTTCTGCCTGCCCTTTGAAAACTGGCCAAGAGAAGCTACCACATATGCGTTAGTCTGCTTGCATTGCCATAAAGATACCTGAGGCTGTGTAATTTATAAAGGCAGAAGGTTTATTTTGTCTCACGGTTCTGCAGGCTGTACAGGAAGCATGGTGCCAACATCTGATCCTGGTGAGGCTCAGCGAGCTTTCACTCATGGCAGAAGGTGACGTGGGAGCAGTCGTGTCACATGGCAAGAGAGGTAGCAAAGGAGGAAGAGAGGAGATGCCTCTCTTTTAATAAACTGTCTTTTAAACAACTAGATCTCACATGTATTCAGAGCAAGAACTCACTCATTACTGTGAGGACAGCCCAAGACATTCATGGGGGATCTGTCCCCATTGACCCAAACATGTTCTACCAGGCCCCATCTCCAATACCAGGGATTACATTTCAACATGAGATTTAGAGGGGACACACATTCAAACCGTGTCAACACAGAAATCAAATTAAAGAATTGACCAACCTATGCTGGCAAGCCTAATACTAATTTCAAAGGCTCAAGAGTGTCCATAACTGGACAAAGCAAGCAGTGTTACTCCCAAGGAAAGGAATAGAGGAGAAGCTTTTGAAGAAGTCATCTGCACATACTTACACCCTGTCCTAGTTCCAGCTTCATGTGCTGGCTTGCAGACACAAGTCTGAGGCGTCAAGAGACCATGTATGCTTCCAGAATCCCAGGAGGTTGTTCCTGAAGAATGAAGCATGTGGTTTGAAGATACTGGTGGTACCAAATTCCTTCCAGCCTCAGAAAAAGGAGAGGTCAGCTGGTGCAAAGACTCACACCCACCCCCAGCAGCACTGCACTTCCACTTTTCCTTACATGTCCTTCCTTTGCTAAGTTGGGACAGGTCTGTATAGAGGAGGCGTCCTGGCAGCCCACCCAGGCAGTCAAGAGTCTGGGCAGCCAGCTCCCCCAGGCCTTGATATAGAGCTCCTCCTCTTAGCTGACTATTAAGGCCATTCTGGACCAATTCCTGAGACAAGGGAGTCTGGGGTTTGGCTCCCAACTCAAGGAGCAGCTGGGCTGGAGCCAGAGCTTGGCACAGAGTGAGTGCTGGAGGCTAGCAGGGAAGTGGCAATTAGGTTATGTTAGGGAGAGAAGCACTTTCTCAGGGTCTGTCACTGGTGAAGGAAGTGCTTGTGGGCTGGTTCCCAAGGAGGGACTTGGGCTCTTTCCACCTCTCCCAGCAGCTGGCTTCCATGTTAAACGGGTCATATTTCCTCTCAGCCATGGGATGGGGCTTCCCTTACTGTTGTTAGAAATAACAACAACTTGGTTTTAGAAATAGATTGTTGGCTTTGGGTTGGGGGAGATGAGGGAGATAGATATTTTGGAGTTTGCTGTCTTTTCAGCTTTCATAGACAATAGAAGGTGTAGAACATGGAGCCAGCCATGGGTCAGGAGGATTCATCTTAGCTTGCCCACTAGCTGGGGATTTCCTTATGCTTTACCTCTCCAAGTCTCAGTTTCCTCAACTGCAAAAGCAGGGAGTTGCTCAAGGTCTTAAGACTCCTTCCAGTTCCATAGTTCTTCCAAGCAGCATAGAAGAGAGGCTCTGGGCATTTCTGCACTGTAGGTCTCTTAGAAGGGAAACCAATTCATTATTCAATGGAGCAATAGGCTCCAAATTGAAAAATGACTCCTCAATGATCCTCTTCAGAACTTTTGAATGAAGACCTTAGTTAATGGATTTCAAAGGGGAAAAGCTGTAAGCCAGAAAAATGAAAAGTAAAATCAAGACTCCATAACCACCAGAGAACTGCACACTGTGGGCCCAGGTAGACAGCCAATTAGCCAACTTAGCAAGAGCT